ATAATATAATATTTATACTAAAATAAAAGTATAATAATATAAACCTTATAAAATACTATAATTAATGAAAGTTATAAAGTAACTATAAAGCTTAATTATAATAGACTTTATAACTAAATTACTACTATTAAAAGACCCCTTAATTAAAATCTTCTATTATAGTATTATAGTTATTATAAATAGATTTATAAAGTTCTCTATTTACTTACCTTATAGAGAGGCAATAAATACAGAAGTTATAGCCTATATCTTCTATAATAAGGTAGTAAAAAAATAAGGATTACTAAAAGAAATCCTATTAAATAGAGAACTAATATTTACCTCTAAATTCTAGTAATTACTTATAATACTTATAAGAGTTAATTATTAACTTATAATAGCCTTTAGACTATAAGTAAATAGCTAGATAAAATAAATAAATTAAGTATTAAAATAATACCTTTAGTATTATATTAATTATAAATAAGATAATTAAGTTAAGAAGCTACTAAGCACTTAGTTAGCTTATAATACTACTTATAATAAGAATATAAAACTTATATTATTTAATATAAATATTAGATTTATACTTAATATATATTATAATACTTAAGAACTTAAAAATATAAACCTAGTAGCTATAATTATAAGTAATAAATTAAGAGAAATATATAAAGAACTTAAAACTAAGTTAGAATTTATTAGAAAAAGGATATAGAGATATTATAACCCTAAAAGGTTAAAGGAACTAACCTTTATAAAGGGAGATATAATTTACTTATTTACTAAAAATATTAAAATAAATTAACTAAATTATAAACTAGATTATAAATACCTAAGATAAATTAAAATTAAATAAAAGATAAGAGAAAATTAATATAAATTAGATTTATCCCTAAATATTAAATATTACCTAGTTTATTATATCTTAATATAAGAATTAGCTATTAATATAATATATATTAAAACCGGCAATAAACTATAATAAATTACAGAACTAGAGGTATATAAAGTAAAGGAAATTAAAAATATAAAAAGGATTAATAAATAAAAAATATACTTAATTAAATAAAAAAACTACTTAAAAAGTAAAAAAATATAAAAACTAATAAAATACCTTATTAATGCCTAATAACTCTTAAAGAACTTTTATTAAAAACTAGGAAAGGATTTAAAATAGCAAACTAATTAATAAGGTCTATTATACTAGCTTTAATTAATTCTACTATAGTAATAGAATTAAAAGGCATAATTAAATTCTCTGCCTTTTTATACTTACTTATTAACTTAATATCCTATTTAAGAGCCTTTAGACCTTTAAATTAAATAAGATGTTTTTAATAATAAAGATATATTAGTTTAAATAAATGCTTATTTAATTAATATTATAATTAAATAAGCTCCTTTTTAATAGCTTTTTTATTAGCTTTAATATAGGTTTTTTTTTAAATTAAATAATTTACTACCTAAAAATTAGTAAAATACTATATATAGAAAATATATAATTAACCTTTAGTTAAAGTTATACCTTTACTATTATAAGTATAACCTTAATAAATATACTTAAAATAATTCTTTTACTTATCCTTTATTATATATTTAATATAATTTTTAATATATAAGAAATAAGGCATAATTTTATAACTAATAAAAGTAATAAGATTTATATAAGTAAGATAATATTAAGTTTCTAGAAATAATATAGTTAATATAAGAATAATTATAAAGTTAAAGTTTTACATACTAGGGAGGAACTAATACTATAATAAATAAGCAATGTCTTAAGGGCAAGACTAGGAAAGGGGAGAGATTATATTATAATCTTAATAATTATATTATATATACCTTACCTTATCTTTTTAATTACAGGTAGTTACTATATATTAAGGGATTCTATAAGTAACTACTAAGACCTAGTTATTAAAAACTAACTAGAAATACCAGTAATTCTTAAGAATTACTAATAACCTTAAAAATTACTTAATAACTATCTTTCTAGGCAGTAACTGCATTTAAGTATATATAGAATATATTTATTAATACTTTTATAAAACTTAACTTACTAGCTATTAATAAAGTATCTTTATATTAATAAGCCTAATATATATTACTTAATTATTAAGAGATATAATACTTTATAATACTTAGCATTATGCCCTATATAATCTGCAAATATAAACCTAGTATAGACTAGTTTACCTATTTAGAAAACCTAACTATTATAATTTTTTATTACTTATATTATAGTAAATAAATTAAAAAATTATATATTTAATTAAATTAAAAGAAAGGTCCCTTAGCTATTTAAAACAATTACTAATTAATAAGTTAAAAGTTTAAAATTCTAGTTAATAGTTAGTATAATTTATATTTCCTAAAAAGCAAGGTCTTTAATATAATAGCCCTAAAGGCCTTTTACCTTATTATATATTATATTAATAAATTAGTAAAATTACCCTTTTTATCCTTATTAATTTACTATTTCTTAAAAATAGTCTTTATATAATTTAAAAAATATAAAATATTAATATATATTAAATAATTATATAATAAATTAATTACTAATATTAGTAAATATATATCTTATAAATATATTAATATATTTACCTAACCTTAAGAATTATTAGGATTTTAATATATTAAATCTTAATATAAATATATTACTTTTAGCCTAATTATTATTTATATTTTAATTAATTAAAGAAAAGTAAGATATTAACTTAAGATTTTATATTAATTAATTAAATACTTTATAATATAAAATTTAAATAGAAAATTCTCTATAAAATTTTAAATTATTTCTATTATAATATATAATAAAAGGTTACTAAAACCCTATTTTATAATATTTAGGCTCTAGGTTTTAAGCTTAATACTAAATATAAATATATAATAGTTACTTAATTTACTAAAGTATAATAAGCTTTTTACTCTTATCTATTTATTATTATTTTAAATATTTAAATAAATAAATAAATATATTTTTATTTAATTATTATTATTTAATATTACTAAAATTATTTAATTAAATAAAAAATCTTTTTAAAAGTTATTAATTAGTATTTTTATAATATACTATTAATAAACTTTAAAAATATATTATAAGAGATAGTATTATAGTTAAGGTTAGTAATAGTAAAAGTATATATAATAAAAGATAATATAAAGGAAAATATAAGTCCTTATAGAAATATAGTTTATAATAAAATAAATATAAGAAAAGTCTTAATAAATTCTAAGCTTAGTATTTTATATATATATTTTAATTATTAAATTTATTAATTATTTACTTAAAATATATAAAGGTAGCTATTTTAATACTTTAGGCAAAGTAAGAAATTAATTAAATAATAAAGTTATAAGGACATTAATAGTAATATAATACTATTAATATAAGGGCTAAAAGTATATAGCTAATATAAAAATGAAAAGTAATATAATATTTATAAGTTAATATATACTAGCTAAATAAAAACAAATATATTAATTTAATAAGATAAAAGAGCTAGTATTTAATTAAATAAATATCTTAATTAGGAAAAAAAGGAAAGGAATTATTTTATTTATTAATCTTATTTATTAATCTTATTTATTAATTTTATTTATTAATACTATTAAAGATTTTAGAATAAAAATAAAATAAAAAATATTTTAAAAGTAAATTATATTAATATATTAGTTATATAAATCTAGGTAATATAGTTAAAATCATATATTAGCTATTATCTCCTTTAAGTAAAATAAACCTTATTATTTTTATAGCTATTATAAACTTTTAATAAATATATTATTAATTATATAATTTATGTATAAGATAAGTAATCTTATTTTTATAAGTATATAATAAGATTATTATATTCTTTTTAAAAACTATAGCTAAAAACTAAACCATTATCTTCTTAAATTTACTTACTTAAATCTTTAAGTCTTAAAATAAATAAAATAATATTAGCTAAAAGAAGGATTCCCTTACTAATAAAACAAGGTCTTTATCTTAAATATAATATTATACTCCCCCCAAGATAGCTATTTGCTAGGTTATCTATATATGCCACCACAGACTCCTATGCAGCTGTTAAATATACTAGTCTACTATCACCAGGTACTCTAGCAGACCTTGAACTCTCCTCGTCATTAATCGATTTAATGCTTACTATATTTAGTCTACTTGGCACCTCTGTTACTCTGCTTGACTCTGCCGATAAGGTTAAGAAGACATAGTGAAGCACGAGGACATTGCTGTAGTGCATTATGGCTTGCAGCTATTTACCGAGGTTGATGTCTATAGGCATTGGGTTCTTATGAAACCGCCCTCGGCTAATAAAATATACGTCACCACTACCATCTCCATCATCCGATGACACCGCCGATTAGGCAAGGGCTGCAATCTACCATATAAGGGGGTTATTCTGCGGCATTAATTTAGGCTTCCTCAACGCCTCTATAAGTATCTGCTAGATAGGTGCCTAGATATTCTTAAATCTCCATTTTTCCCTCTCTGCGTGATTGCCCCTACGTCAACTACTAAGACTTCTTACTTAATATTTATAAAATCTTTAAACTAGCTCTCTATTAAGTATAAACCTATCTCTTTTAGTATACCCTTACTACTCGAGTAGATAAAGAATCCCACCAGGCTCGTCTAAATCGACTGGTATCGTTATCGCTGACCGAGATTATAGATGGCAGCAAGACTCTTGAATGCTCTGCGACCTTCAGCTCCCCTACTCCTCTATCCATGCAGTTCAATGCAGCCCGCGCATCTCGCGGTCATCGCTCCGTCATGGCCCCTATCATTTCCAGCCTGTCCCAGAAGGCCGATTGGATAAACATGCGCCTCTGATGATCCTCGGAGAACCGATGTGTATCTTCTTCCGCTTTCTCTTCTTCAGTCTCGTCGCCGTTTCTCCATTGCACAACCTTGTTGTTGGGTGCCAGAGCTGGTTCCGGCCTGGGGCTTGTGGCTGGCTGTATATATCCCTGCATTATACACTCTAGCTTGGACTTATACCTGGCTAATAATGGTAAGGTCGCGGTTGAATCCGCCCATGGTCACACCATCCAAGATGTAGACGATCAAGACTACATCGACTTTATCGGCCAATTCGCAGTTATGAACTTTGGATAGTCGAACGCCAAATTCGCAAAGGCAGCTGCAGATCACGTCTACAAGCTTCCCCTCGCTGGGACGTATAGCATCAGCTCTCTCTATATAGAATTTTCCCAGCGGGTAACCAAGGTAGGAAGCAATCTCCTTCTGACCTAAAACAGTTTGGAAAAGCCAACAGCTGGCGCCTCAAGGAATTCGGCTACGGCTCAATCGTGACAATGCTCAGCGGCTCTGAAGCCGTCGAGTCAGCTGACAAGATTGCACGAGGATGGGCCTATCTCCACAAGGGTATTCCTCAGGACAAAACTCACATTTCGACTGTCGATCAATGCTACCACAGATGGACTCTATTGACTATGCCCATGGCTACTGTCGCAGCAAAGCGCAAGTTACGTATGAAAACATAACGATCTTTATACTTACCTTGACATTAGACTTCGGCGAGCATCTCCCCAATGTTGGCCCGTATGCTCCGTCAAGTGGAAAGCTTATCTCGTTCGGTGATATTAAAGCCCTAACTAACTACTTTGAGGAAGACGCTCACCATCTTGCCGCACTATGTATCGAGCCTGTTCAAGGTTGGGCCGGGTATGTTTGACATAGTAACCGTGACTGAAGCAGCAACCGAAATCTTTATAGCACTATCGTTCCTCCAACTGAGTACCTGAAGGTTGCCCAGGAGCTCTGCAGAAAGCACAACGTTCTGCTTATCTGTGATGAGATTCAGACTGGATATGGCCCGAATAGCAAGGATTTGTCCTACCAGCATGAGGCAACCCTTGAACCCGACATGGTCATCATGGGCAATGCTGCTACTGGCGGTAAGTCAAGGAGCTTTTCCACATACAACAACAGTACTGATATCACTAAGTTACTATCTAATATCCGTCTTCATGGGCAAGAAGGACATTATGGACTTGGTCTATAAGAATGAGATTCATTCTATATTTGGCGCCTCACCCATTGTATGTAGATATACTGGTAATTATTAGGACGAGTGATAAGGCGCTAACTGCAACCTTATTACATTTAATTCCAAATAGGAGATTTCATATTATTTATATTACAGATAGTAAAAACATACAGTAAGCTCGCCAAAAGTGCTAAGTTAATAAGAATAGTTAATATAACTATAATAGTAAGAATAAAAATCGCTACAATAATAATAGTAATTATAAGTTAAATTTAATAATATTAAATTACTGCTACAGTACTGCCTTTAATAATAAAGCAATAGAGGATAGAATAGTTAAAGGTTTGCTAATAAGTACCTGCTTTCTATTTTCTATGAGGACTTGGAGCGACTAGCTAGTATTGGTGGTCCCTGTGTCCGACTTCCTACCCCCAGGCATCGAGTTCCTCCATATACCCAGCAAGCTTAACCCAATTCCACATAGAGTCTACATACAGTTAATAAAGCCACGCTAGGCGGGGTCGGCTGTCAGGCAGATTGTTAGCTGCACAAGGCTAGTTCAACATCATAAGTAGCTTGCTGCACCCCCAGTCGTAACACTATTGCCATATACTGTTTCTTGTGTATAAGTCCCATCTGACACATATTCCTGTGCGTTGCTATATGCTGTCTGCCAGGCTTGGTTGACAATGTTATGGTTCTGCACAGCCCCTTCCCCACCTGACGACATATTGTCAGACAAAGGCTGGGCGTTATAGGAAGGCGACTGTGACTCATAAGATGGAGTCTGGGCACTGTAATCAGGCTCCGTGGTGTTGGTGTTGAAATAGGAAGGCTGAGGGCTAAGGGAATTACTAAATTAGCGAGTTCTTGAGTAATTAGAAAGTATGAGGTTGGGCTTACTCTGCACCAGTTTCAGGCTCATCTGATTGAGAAATAGGACATATAAAAAGCTTAAGTAAATCTATAATAAAAGACATAATAAATACTTTATGGTGTAGTTAACTTTAATTTTATTAAGTAATAAATATTTAGTGTAATAAAGCAATTTAGAACTCTCTTGTGGTTTGGGACATGGTTTTATATTTTAAGCAGGCGTTTCTGCAACAGAAAGCGCAAATGCTGACTATTATTCAATATCCATCAACTACCTCGAGATGCATATATTTAGCTGCACTACGCTATGATCTTGAGTCTCGACCATGGATCTTTGTTAAAATGAGTGTAAGGCTCGGCAAATCGGCAATATAAAGGAAAGAATAGCAGTTTTAACCTAAGGATTTTAGGACCAAACGTTCCTGCCTTGACTGTGTAAATTGCTGACAAGGCGTTGTGGCGCTAATATTATGCAAGCCACTAGGGATAACTTGACTAAATTGGGCTAATCCCAAGCCGACGCATGGACTAACGGGCGAGCTTGGAAACTTTACATGATAATATTGCCGCTTGAAGTGGCTGTGCACTAATACTACGGGATCTCTAATAGCTTGCACCTTTACGCTCTGGTATGCAGTATACCTAATTAATGCAATTAACTTCCGTATATAATCGGAGAAGTAGTGTTTTATTCAGCCTAGTGTCAGCCATAAAAGCCCCTCAGCACAGACTAACTACATAGGGCTTGATGGCAGGCAGCTGACCGCCTAGCGATACAAGCACAGGGCCATTGAGCGTTCAGTGGAAGTTGTGACAGACTGAAAGTGCAGGTTGGCAACTCAATGTCTCAGTTATAAGGTGACATGTTTACCCCGCCTGCATGAAGCCATCATAAGGTAGACAAGATGCCTTCAAAAAGACAGCCAAGACCGCCACTGGCTCGGGTAACCGGAAGGCCAACTCAGTCAGATGGTATAGTGGATAATAGACCTTTTACATACCTTTTCACTCCTCGAGGCAAAAAACTACCTTCTAACCAGTCTGGAACAGAAATCTTTACAGTCCCTCTTCTCGCATTTAGCTTGAATGTCCACTCTCGGTTATATCTCTAATAGAGAGGTACTGGCGACATATTCGGAACGATTAGTATTTACTCTATCTTCTGTGCCAGGAGCAAGGTGGTTTGTTAATTAAGTCCATCGGTAATCCGCCTTTGTCCCTGATCCTGATCCTGTCTCTACATTCTAACTTGAGAGGGTCCTTGTAGGCTTCTGTAGCTTGTAGGCGACACACATAGTCAAAATGGCAAACTTATATAATCGGCTTCCTTCAGTAACACCGCTGCCAGGCTATTATAAAACTACCACGCCCACAGAGCTTAACACCTACTTCGGATGGCGATATCGGGAATTTGCTACCATAGGGTTTTGGTCTACCATTCTAGGCTATCTTCTGGACCGTCTGCCTTGGGATTCCGTGAGGCATACCGCCATTGTTGGATACAGCACATTCAACATTGTTGTCGTTCCCACTACACACCTACGTTTGAAAACCGTCTGTCTCCATGCGAGTGCCGCTATAATAGCAATTCTTTTGCATCGTTGGTATCCACTCAACTGGGTTGTGTCCACATATTTGGCAATTGTTTTCTACGGATGTTAGTTGGATATTAAGCTAGCTTGCATCATCTTCCTGGACGTCCCAAATGATGAATTTGGTGGGCATCGTAAACTCAACCAAATCCGCGTGCTCACCCATTTTGCTACCGCAGCACTACTTTTCCGCCCGCAAGAAATCCATCATCATATGTTTTCCAACAGTTGGAACTGCGACCCTCTATCATTTGTCGTCCTTACCCCTCTCCTTCGGGAGTAATTTGTGAGCTTGGCAGCCGATGGCCAAACATGGGGATCTCTTGGGAGTCAATTTCCGAATCATTCTTTGCCTAGCTGACGTTAAAACCGCTTGATAACTACTATTTTGAAATGCGCTTAAAGATTTATTATTACCTGAAGATAAAGTACCGGGATTGGATGGAAAATCGCGATCAGGAGGTCAACCTTGCTGATTTCTATTACAGCTTAGTCCCAATCGATGAGGACGAAATTCGACTGCTCTACCTTCCTCGTCGATCTTGGAAGCCGTTTGCCGGCGGGATAATTCAAGTAAAATTGTTTTCAGTGCCCCTAGCAGAAGCAAAAGATTATCATTATGAGGCAATGTCTTACACCTGGAGGGAGACATCTCTTCAGCGATCTATTGCAATCTGGGGTAGGCGACACGACATTAGTCAGAGCCTCCACCAACTTCTGCATGCTAGGCGATCCTTCATTCATGATCGCTTTCTATGGATCGACCAAATTTGCATTAACCAGGAGAACGGCGAAGAGGTTCAAAGTCAGATCAAGAAGATGAGAGATATCTACATCGACGCATACCGTGTAGTCGCTTGGCTAGATGACAATTTCGACGCGTCGATGGCTGCGCGTACTATTGCAGAAATCTCTAACAAATTTCAGTTATAGAATATACAATCAGATAAATTCCTCAATTATTGGGACAGAAACTCTCCGCAATGGAGGGGCTTTCATGAAGTTCGTCTTTCATCGCTATTTCACCAGAGCTTGGATATGCCAAGAGGCTGGCTTGGGCCACAATTTACAGTTCTATATTGGTGGCGTTTACCTTTGGCCAGAAGTGATTTGCTATGCCATGAGGGCGTTATCGCAATCAGAGGCGATATTAGACATTTGCAAGGAAAGCAAGCTTCCAGCGAATGATGCTCTTGATGTTATCAAATGCTGGAATACAACCTTTGGCCTCCGCCCCTGGAACTCCGAGTCTTCCCATAACAGGGAAACCATACATTGCTTTGGTCTTATGTTATCAGTCTGCTCGAGATTGAAAGCCACTAATCCCCGCGACAAAATCTATGCACTCCTAGGCATTTCGAATAGCGATACCGCGAGGCAGATTAGACCTTGCCAGAACATCTCCACAACGGAGCTGTTCCGTTCAACTGCAATCAAATTACTTGAATCCGTCCACGACGCTGAGTTTGTTCTGCCTCATGCCGGGATAAGTGTATCCAATAACAACCCGGATCTTCCTTCTTGGGTTCCAGATTGGGAAAGGGAGACGCAAAGGATCACTGAGCTGATCAGTATCCATATTCCACCTGGGATAGGAAATATTCAACGAATGATGAATTTCTGTGATGAAGTCGAAGGCCTGCCGAACACCCTGAGCTATAAGTATACCGCCGGCGGTCCTTCAAGGCCTCAGTTTCAAATAGATCCTACACTGGGACAGCTCCGAACAAATGCAGTTTTGATTGACGGAATTGCTGCTCAAAGCATACAGCCTTATAATCATCTCTCAATGGATCCACGCACTCATCGACTTTGGTTAGTTGAAGCGGAGATTCTGGCGGCTCGGATTTCAGATCGTACAGTGCTACCTCGGACCCTCATTGGCAACCGGATCAACAACGATTCGAGCTGGCGTCCCGACCCAGACAGCCTGATCGAGGCATATCACATCTTGACAGATAACCCCGCCGCATTCGAGATCGAAAGCTTAAGAAATCGCGGCTACAGCTTTACGGTTGACTCCCAATGTGCAGCAGAGACCGAAGGGCCAGGAAATGTTCTCACACTTACCATGGACTTTGCATCAAGAATGAAAGCAATATGTGGCGGCCGGAAGCTTTGCCTTACCTTTGGCCATTGACTTGGGGTTGTGCCTGCTGCAACAAGAGAGGATGATGTCGTATATATCATTTCTGGCATGCAGACGCCGTATATATTGCGTCCCGTAGAGATCCCATGAATTTGGGGCTCTGTAACATAGTTCAGGCTGGTTAGGGAGTGCTATATTGATGGAGCAATGGATGGTGAATTAATAGACCATTTATCTGCCAGGAGTATTACAATTATATAGCTAATAAAATCCATATGGCCCTTTTGTTGCGTTTCATTATGTTATGGACTTTGCCAAAACGATCTATCCGCGGTCAAGCTGCTCTCGAGACAGGCCTCGCTCAAGGTTTAAACAATGTCCCCGAAGGTTTCCAAAATTGCCATGGCTTTGCCAAGAAAAGAACCGACAAATGGCGAGATTAATATTCGCTCTATGTCAGTGGGTCAAGCTCGCAAAGCAATACTAGTGATAGCGGCTTTAGCTATAGCTGCTACGGCCAAGATACTAGGAAGTATAATTGCAAATTGCTTACATAGTAATGAGAATGAGGAGGGTCTAGAGATATATTATGCTAGCAGTAAACTACAAGTTAACGCCATATTTAATAATACAGGATAATTAATTATAGCTAATGTTTGCCATATAGTTAGCCTCTTTTAGATAGTATAATTTATTAGAAGTAAGTAAGATATAATAATATATAGTTTAAGATATCTCTTTAGCTATAATTAATTACTTTTATCTTTTTCTTATTTTTTTTTTTAAATAGGAATATATATATAGTAGACTTAGAGTATAATACCTAATTATATCTATATTAATAGTAATTAGACTTTATAAACTAGGCTCTATATATAAGAAATGCTAAGTAATCCTACTAGATCTTATATAAGCTGCCTTATTTAGAGTATAATAAACCGAATTATTAAACTATATACCTCTATAATATAGATTATATATTAAGTAATAGTAATTATAAATATATATAATATAAATAATCTAAGACTCTAAGGATACTTAAGATAACTTGCCTAGTAGTTAACTAGAGCACGATTTGCCTCCCCAAATCAAGCAACCTATGCGTAGCATTATCACAGCGTCAGAGCAACCGCATCAACCTATTCTCTCTAATTTGGCATTAAACGCACAGCCGATGCCGATAATACATTCACTGGCCAGTGCACCAGCCAATACATGCTGCATATAATGATATAAAAAGGCTTGGTTCGTTCCAGTAAGTAAATGTGTTGGTTGTTCGGGCGTCATTGTGATTGTGGCTGCTGATATGTTTCAGGTGGTGGGGTAGCAAGAGACGGCTGAACTGCAAGGCACATAAGATGCAGTGCGGTTGGGAGGGCTACTGATATCAGTAAGAGCTTTTGTAGTAGCTACCTCGTATTTAACGGTGAGGAGAAGTGGCTGAACTGGAGTTGTTTGGAACTATGAGTTGCCGATGTAAATAGTTGATAATCAGGGGAGTATTTTACCGGAGGGGCCTGCTGTTCAAGTTCGAGTGGAATGGAAAATATTAAAAGTTAGAAAAGTAACTTGTTTACTTGTATATCTTATATTAACTTGTCTTGTTTATTTTAAAGTAATGGTGATTAAGTCACGATGTCGGCTGCTGTTTCATTTAAAGGCTGCTATAATATAGCTATAGGACTTGACAAGGTAATGATGTAGTTTCCGACAGTAGTGAGCAGTTGCTCTATACGACGCACATGTCTATTGGAGTAGAGTCAAGCAGTGGATGGTTTGTATATTGATCATTGTACAATATTATGTCATTGGCTGCGAGAGTAATTCATCGTCGAGATGTTGCATATATTCCAAAACATTATTACACCAAGGAATTAAGGAGCAAGCATCATCCACATCAACGTTCCGCATATACTTGCAAAACCTTCTTAACAAAATAATAAATATAATCCCCTAAGTAATACGCATAAGGTCCAGATTCTGAGTTACTTCAATTTTTAGAACGACTCCAAATCGTTAATTGCCTTGGTCCCAAATCTATCTTTCATTAGCATGCTTCCCGAAATTTCAGCTTCGAGAGGACTTACCGCGTAAACCGACTTAAGAAAAGAGTCGCCAAAAATATCAAAGGCCAATTTGCCCCTCAACTAAACTCTACCATACCACTTATATTTATCTGCAGGTGCAAACACCAAGTCCTAGGGCTAGATAATAAACCGCTTATCCCTAATCGCCACCTTGAATTCTGGTAGGTCTTCTACCTTTGTGCTCTTAGGGAAGACATAGCCCTGTTAGGTCGAGTTATAGTGCGCCCCAGGAAATTCATTGTACAGCGCCTCGCAGACCTTATTAGAAACCAAGACTAAAGTTATACCAGTATCTGCAATAGCCTTATTACCAGACAGATTGATAGTTTTGCCCTTCACAGAGACACTGACAGATAGGAACATCCAAAAACCATCAGACGAGTCAATTTCGGTCCACGTAATTTCCTCACCGGAGCTCGAGACAAGATCAGTGTCAATGAAGCCAAAAGTGTAGAATGACTCAGGCGAATTAGCATCCCACTGGCTGTAAAACGCCGAGGTAAAGAGCTCAGCCTCCTCGGGGATGTCACCTTGTTTGATCATGTTAATAACAGGAGTGTCTGCAGGGTCTGGAGACTTATTGGTCTTGACTGTGCTGATGGACGGGAAAGCAAGGCCAAGAAGACCATCGCCAGTGCCCTGGGCAAATTGGTAGGAAAGTTCCGACGCGAGCTGGACAGTTTGATTCTCAATGGTCAAACCACCAATGGTAAGATTATCTGAGCCGCAATCTCCTGATGCGCGGCTCCTATCTTGATAAACGGTCTCCCAAGACTTATCGGTGAGCTCATTGAACGATGAGGAAGATGAAGGATCAAAGACATTGTGACCTCTCTGGATTCTCTTACTCAATTTTGTTGAGACTACCTTTAGGTACCTGGTTAGAATTGTGCACTCTGTTTTAGGGCCTGGTTTAGGAAGGCTCACCCAAAGGTCTGCGGACCCAGTGTCAAAGTCCAACTTGAACTTCTGAGGGGGCGTGCCAATGGACACCTCGCACAAGTACGTGGAATCAAACGGCACGTCCTCTGCCGTAACCTCTCCAATTTGAGTTCCGCCGGCATCCAGAGATCCATCGGCACCAAGCTTTTTCTGAAGTATCTTTGTCTGATAGGCACGTCCGCCTACAGCAGCATCAAATCTAGGGTGAGCGAGTCCACGTTGTTGGATTCGGTGAGCTTGGAAGTACGGTCCGGATTTGGTAGGTTCAAATCCGAAGCGGTTAAGAAGGTGAATGTAGGATTTGGTGCCGTGCGGCTTGTAGTTCAGGTTTCGCCTGGCCTTGATCTTACTTAGGCCATGGTTGAGTCTGAATTTGTGTTAAGCTTGATAGATACCTTCTTTGTTAGGATATGCTTGTGATATAGGAGTTGAATATTAAAATGACTAGCAGTAGCAGAGTAACTTTGGAAGAGATGAAACGTGAGAAGTAAAGAGATAATGGGGCCAGGGTTAATTTATACTGCAAGTTATAAAATTAATAGAAGCAGTGCTCTTAAATCAGCTACTAAGGGTTATTTATTATATTCTTATATCTTCACTGACGGACCCATTCAAATCGCTGTTGATTGCTTATTTAATCATTATACGAGGAGCTTGAAATCCGGGCGACATCAACCAGTGGCGGAGAGAGGAAACAGGGAGGTTTGCGCGGTAGCAGAACCTTTCGTCCCGAAAGGCACTCCCAATTTGAGCTAGATGCCGATTAATTGCGGAAGACTAGCTAAAATGATGTTTATAACGTGATGTAATAAATTGTCATAATGTTCAAAGTATGGTAACAGTGGAAGGAATAGTTGACATGTGAAAGCATAACCTACACATATGTATGGTCTTGTTTACTTGATGGCTGGTTAGCATCTGGTAAAAGACAATTTCTGATTATTTGTAGCCAGACTTGGTTCGTGATATAGAAAAGAGAGGGTGTCCGTTGAACAGCTGGTTACCAAGGCTTTCACATGATTTACCTCCGATAGAGCGGTCTTGTCTGGTAATTTCGGAGGTAGCATCGTAAGCCTGCTAAGTCGAAATTTCCCAGCCCAATGCCAGCTCTCCGGCAAATCTTTCTAACCTGCCTATAGTGATCAGACTAGGATTCGGTAGTTAGCGTTGGGCTGAGACAAAAATAAGCTATGATAAATATAATTAAATAGACCTAGGAGCTCTGTGCTGGGATTACCCCTCCTACTATCACATCTCATGCAGAAAGTCCCAAACGCATCTTAAATAGTTTATAGCTTAGTAGTGAGTTACTCTATTACTTTACCTAGAATCTTATTAGATCCTGTTGTATTATCGTGTCTGGAAACTTTGCAGACTAGTAAAATAATTTCCTGAATAATCTTAAATAATGAAACGTCAGTTAAAATATTAATATAAAATAAAACTAAGACTTATTAATAAATACTAATAAAGACTATTATCAGACAAGATTAAGATATCTTCTTCTACAATTTTCAGTTTTACCTTCATCCCCCAGCCATCTGGCCCTCCTATCCAATTCTTCTTTTTACCAATCTTTTCCACTATATTCACATGATCTCTTAAAGCTTTCTTTAGCTTTGCGGGATCATGTTTCATCTTCTGTATAGATATAGTCAACTGAACACCCTCCCCCTTCTTCTTATGGCCTAGATCCCAAGCCCATTCAGATGAGAGCACAATGCGAGGCTTGCTCTCATCAACTTTCCCTGAGGGATAGAGGCGACCAAGTAGGTATCCGACTCGGCCAAGGTATGCAGCCCACCAAACCTCTTCTGGCGTAATAATAGATTGGAGTGCCTCCTTGAACTTGCTCTCGCGTGGGGGTAGCTCTCCCATATAACGCGATTCCAACATAAGGGCAAGTCTGGCTCGGTCTTCATGCGAAACCCCGCGAGTAAAGGCAAGTAATCCAGTGCTCGTGCTATACATTGCTGCTGTAGATGCAAGCTCTTTATCCATGATGGTATGAACATACATGATATTTGCGAATCCTCGTATAACATGCTTGCTGATGGACTCTGGGAATCTGCGAGTCCCACCCTGGGAGGGCTTAGGAAATGAGAACATGAGAAGGTTGTAGAGGGCCTCGACTGACTCGGGGGCGAAACGCTGGGTAGTGACCTCGAGAGGGTCCTGAGCTCTGATACTAGGCTCAAGCTCTCTAAATAGAAGTCCTTCTCGCACACCTCCTTGACAGAAGTGTGCAAGTCGGATTCCATGAGGGATCGCGTTGGATAAAGCGTTGATTAGGAACGCGACGGCAGGAACCTGTTTTCTCCTCCGATCTGAAACCCGGAAGACAGAATGGGCATTCCGAGCAACTTCTTCCATGGCTTTTGTGTTCTCAAATCTTTCCTTTCCAACAGTGTATCCATTAATGATGGATATGGGATGAGGCTTCTCGCCAGTCTGGCTCATATAAAGGAGCAAGTAGCCCCAACCTCGAAATCCACCCCCGGAGAGATACAATGGAAAGCCGCCATTTGTCTTTGCTTCCTCAACTAAGCTTTCAGGAATTCGGAGACTTTTGTATGCATCCTCGAAATTCTTTGTCATCTCCTGGCGAAGCTTTTCCCGTGCTTTCTCTGCCTCATGTTTCGACTTACCCCTTTTAAGGTCCTCCAAAGTCTTCGTCAATGCTGCAGCTCCGTAAGGAAAGCTTATTGATCCTTTGTCACTAATGCGGACGTTCCCGCCTTGTGATATAATCCAGGTAATCTGAGTGCTGCCACCGCCAAGGTCCATCATAAGTCCTCTGATATCAGAGAAACCGCTTGCAACACCTAGAGAACCGATACGTCCTTCATCTTCTTTAGGGAGCATATCAACGACAAGTCCGGTAGCTGCATTTATTTTCTTTATGAATTCAGCAGAGTTGAGAGCAGCTCGAGTTGCTTCAGTGGCGACAACATGGATGTTCGCTTGGGGAACGCCAAGGTCGGTGCAGACAATTTTGAAACGATTCAGCGCAGCAATAACGTCGTCAATAGTATCAGGTGGGATAGGTACTTGGTGGCCGGTCTCTGGATCAAATTGGGCGTCGTAAAGTGATATACTGACACGATACACATGGATTGTAGGAAGAATACGAGAGAAAGGTGGAGATAGATCCGTGACGGAGAATCGGATGCCGTTACTAGTATATCTGTCAGCCTCCACGCCAATAATTTCCATCTTTTCAAGACCCGTTTATTATTATATTAATAGCCAAGGAATAATTTGTCGTACTTCAGTTTCCATACAGGGCGTTACTTACCTCCCCATATCCACTATACCCCGCAAGTAGGAGGAATCCACTGTTTGCAGTTCATCTCGGGGTCTTATAGAGGGGGCAGGTGAATGTGAGTCCACAATAATTTCATAATCGGAGATGGAGAAATCCATTACAACGTTTGAGAAAACCCGAATTGAATGATTTGGGTAGCTTAGCCGAAGGATCTGGATGAAGAGTTGATCAAGGTAATGACATTAACAAGACAACGATTAATGATCCTACGGGTGAATAGAAGTGAGGGTAGTAGGCGAATTGTAGCTTGTAAAATGACTTTTAAGTAGATATTTGCAAAGGGTGATGGGTTGAATTAGCTATTTATGTCCAGATTCCAATCGATGGTCTTATACAACGTTGACATTCAGGCGCCTGAACGCTCTCTCATAGATACGTCAAGTCCATCGATATAATTGGCTCGAGTTTGAGGTGGTGTGAGACATGAACATCAATGCTTGACGAAAATGCATTAGCCAATGATACTACTTGTAAATAAACGGATATTGATGTATTTCGACTCCTGTTAAAAGTTTCGGTTAGTCGGGAACAGTAATGCCGAGTATCAAGTAAAGTTTACTGCTGAATACATACCATCCACAATCTATTCCACGGCCATGATCAGCAGCTCCATTCATGTCCATGTAAATGAGAGTTCATGGACAGCGCCTCGCTACGTCCTTCTCCGACACGAAGCGGAAGGGGACCAACACTACCTCCGGACGTTCTGGCATGATTAAAACTCTAAATAAAGGCGTACTTGAAGCGGGAAAAGTCGAACCATATAACTCACATTAACTAGAGATCCTTATTGCTCGATACAGTCGTGTAAAGCATCCAGCTTTGCATTCTTGTCAGAAGAAGTAACACCATCCTCTGCCATGACGATAATACATTATTGTGACACAGTATCTTATACAAAGTTCATACGGCTGGGGAATATATCATAATGAATCATGCCCTTAAATGATAAGCAGCCACTTTATGGAAAAGTCGCGCCTGTCAGCACTACCACATGCATGTGTATGCTGCTGAGTGCAGCGGAGATCGAGCGAAAGTTGCCGCTTGAACTCAGTCTAACCTCGAGGTACGGCGTGCAGTCAGCGTCAGCTCTCAGCCAGATTCAACTCTAAATAACACATCTCAAAACACACTTCAGGCAGCATACCAACTACCCACACAATAGCCCAAAGGGGAGGATAGAACCGTTTCACCAAAGCCCGACCTGGGGCCAACGGATGCGGATGGTGATTGCTTGTCGGTTCTGTCAACGGACCAATGTAGCCAGATAGAACTTGCCCTTCAAGCTGCACATATCCAACAGCAGTATTCCCATTGTCAGCAGCCAAGGTAGTAGCCATAAGACTCTTCCCCCCTTGATGAGCCCATTCTTGACAAGAGAAGCAATGAGTAGAATGATAAACCAGCGATGCTCAATCTCATAGAAAAGCTCAGACCCGTGCTATGAATGTCTTCCCTCATCTCTTGACAACCTTTGGTCATTATCATCCCTAGCCATGCAGTGGCAAGTCAACCGTAAAATTCTCTTTTTGTATCAAGATTACTAACAAGTTTAAAAATACACGCTTTAAGAAGGAAGTTCAAAAATACCCATTGAGAATGCAATGCTTGTTAGCCATAGCTTAGTCTGCATTGAGCCTGCTTGGCTATCGATGCCGCTCGGGATTCCATAATCGGTCACAGACTGTTAAGCTGATCTTATATGAAAACTTCAACTTTTCCATAGGCAATTTTCGCCCCTTTTAGTACTTGGGTAGGGCCTAGAGACCGGCCACCCCTTAGCTTTTAGTCAGTCACCAGTGACGGTGCCTATAGCACGGGGGGTGCGTTAACTGGGGAAAGGGTCGGTTGACTAGGGAAAAAAAGCTACCTTGAATTCATATATATGCCCCACCAAATTACAAAGTACCTCCTTTTTCACTGTTAACTACATGATTGTGACCGGACTAACCCCTCCATTTGCAACCATCACCAAAAATGCATATCGCAACAACACCAAGCAACTGTCACAACTATTCGGTATTTTCTTCATCCCTTGGGACAACGAATTCGCCCTAATCGACTTCAATACTTCCCCCAACGACTATTTCATCATTTTCGGAGTCATCATCTTCTTCATCAATTAATTCCTCGTCATCTTCAACGATTTCCAAGCCGTCAGCTTCTAACGACATCTTCTTCCGATTGGAGCGGCGTTTTTCCTCATCTGCAACAAGGAATTCCAGTGCCTCCTTTATAATATTGAAGTTATAGTCAAATGGAAGAAGGAATAGGGGATTCCAGTGAAATCTGAAGACCTTAATGACTTCCTGACTTCCTGATTCCACTGCCTGCTTTGCTCTCTCCTTGGATTGCTTCATTTTATCGTCAAGCTCGCGGAGAAGCCGGTATCTTAAGCCTAGCAACGCGGTTAACTTCAGAAACTCTTGGTGTTGTGACTTTATATAGAAATCACCTGCTGTGAATAGCTTCTTCTTCTGAGAATAGCTCGGCTGGCTGCTATGAAGGTCAGCAACCCGTAATAGCTTTAGACTTATTCTCAATTGCTTCCTGACTGCTGCAATCCATCGTCGTAGATAGATAACTTTGTCTTTTACTTCCTTATTGTGGAGGCGCGATTCCTCTGCTGCCTGACCGGCCAGTCGGTTATGCTGATCCTTTGCGACGCGAAGTCTGGCATCATAGACAGTAATTGGCCCGTAATTTGCTATAATCGTTATCCCCTGATCCCGGGCAGAGCGTCTAAGGTTCTTCTCCTTAAGCAGGCGCATCTCCTGAGTCGCTGTAATGCCATTTAAAGCGAGAGTTGAGTGTGCCTTTCGCACCTTCTCATTAATATGTGACACTGAGGGAGTCAGGGGCGTGCCCGAGGCCACTGAGCATTCGATCCTGAGGGCCACATATTCCTCATACTGACGGATCTTCTGCAAATTCAGCTGTGGCGTGTTTATTTCGATCCAGTTGACGTGCGGAGGCGGCGTTGACATTAATCGAATCTCCTGATCAAAAGGAATCGAATGGTATAGCTCTCGAGACGATTAGACTTCAGAAACCTCATCGGATTCGGAGTTGTTATCGCTGCTGTAGGTAGAAGATGACCCCTGTGATATGTAGCCGGGTAACGACTCCTTAGCTACCTCTAAAGATAGTGATGATAAGGGGTTGATCATACGGTCGATCACGGCTGCGGGATTATAAGGATAGATGCCGGTCTTCTTCCAAGATGAGATGATAGTGCTTTTCTTAGCAGTCTTGCGGCGGATTTCCTATAAATGAAACAGGAAGTTAGCTTTATTAAAGTCTGTAGCGCCATCTGCAATCTTATGAGAAAGGACTTCTTGATGCTAGTGCTTATATGAGCTAAATAGCCCAATATCTAGCGGCTGAAGAATATGCGTCAAGTGAGGAGGGAAAGGGAAGAGCTCTATGCCTGCATCTTGGGCTTTTTGGAAAAGCTCTTTGGTGAAATGATTCTTATAGCTATCTAGTAATATTGTTCTTTTTTGTGGATTTTTTTGAGACCGCGTATGCCGTTTAAAGTGATTGAAGAATTCTAGCGCGGCGATATCGTCGATATAGCCTTTTGGTGTTATGATAATCGTTATGCCTTTTTCTAATGCATTATTAACCTACCGAGACGGTAACTGTACCCCTGGCATGATAATAAAGGCAGGAATAATAGCTCCTATTGCTGATATCGACTTAATGACCGTGACGCTTATTGTCTTATGTGCATCGATCAAGATAGGCCGGTCAACAGCTCGAAAAGTCCATATGATAATCCCGTTTCTAAGATATCCAATCTGGAAGCCTGTCTCATTGATGTTCCAAAGACCCTTATAATCTATGCCTTTTTTGGTGTAATCGTGCCACTTTTTAAACTACTCTTCGATATTTACTCGGTCTTCTATCGCCTTTCTTTGTGCTTCAAGCGTTGAAGTCTTCCTTCTATGAAAAACAGAAGAATGACGGCGTAAGAAGCGCCTTGCCTAGTATCTAGATGCAGTAGGGGCTCTCCCTGTAGCTTTTAAAACAGAATTAGCATGCTGTCGAAGAGTGCGCTGTTAAATATAATGTCCTTGAGTGACACGGCGCCAGCACTAAGCTAGGATCGCCTTCTCTTCTTCCGGCGAAAAAAGGGTATGATTGCCGCCATTCTTAGAGATAGGATGTTTTCCTTTTTGTCGAGAAAGCAACCTTTTATATAATACCCTCTATGCCGCAGCAGCTTTAATAGCTGAGGAGTAATATCCTTCCTGAAGAAGCTTAACAGCCGCGACAGTACGCATCTCAAGGTTATGATCAGTATACCGCGAGACATTAGGGTTTCCGGTATTAAGATCGATCTATCTTTATATTGCAGAAAGAGCAGGCTAAGGGCTTTTAATTGATATACTTATTAGCTTAATTGAATGAAAATTGCAATTATTGTGACTGAGTGAAGTAGTTATGTTAGTGTTAAGGATATTTAAGTGGTGATTTCGTTGTAACGTTTATGAGGGGTAATGACATATTGCGGGCATTATTAGTGCAGCAAACGGTAACAATTTAATTAAACGAGTGACCTATTTTCTTAGTAGGGCTACATATAAATTAAAAGTAGCTTATTTATTTCCTTATTAACCGACCCTTTGCCTAGTCAAGCTACCCCCCGTGCTTGACGCACGGGCACTTACGGTGTAAAGGAAAGCACGGGGTGGCCGGTCTCTAGGCCCTACCCAAGTAGTTCACAGACCATCGCACCTTTGAGGGCCTTTTTGGTTGCCCTACCCTAAAGCCGTGTAGGAGCCTCCTGCATTGCCCCTCCATTTCCTGCTGCTCTTCTCTAACTATGGCAAAGTAGCTTCTGCAGAAGACTCCGAGAGCACTTAAAATAAAGGTAATTAACTCCTATATAAATAGGATTAATAAGGCATAGTATAACTAGGGATTGCATCCCCTTAACTAGATATAGGGAAGTACTTAGTAAACTTTATAAGCTAGGAATATATACCTAACTTAATAAAAGGCTAGGTTTAGATTAAATAATAATAATAAAGAGGTGATGTTTAAGATAATCTAATAGATAAAGGCTATAGGGATAAATAGAGGTAGTAGCTATATTATAAAGATATTAAGGGTAAGAAAGTTAATATAAGTAAATAGTTATATAGTAATTTAAGATAAAATAAATTAATTACTATTAATATACTAGCCTGCTTTAAAAGCCTAGATAGTATTAGTAATATAAAGTAACCTAATAAATATATAAATAAGAAAAAGAATAAGCTAGATTATAATAATATAATATATGTTAATATAGGTATATAGTTTAAACTAAGTATAAAGACTATTAACTATATTAAAATAGCAGAATTCTTTAATTATAATTAAGATAATTACTATAGTATTATAAATTACTTTTAATTCTTATAATATTAGCTTAATATTAATAAATTAAAGCTTTTATAAGTTAGCTAGGATAGATAGGGAAGTCTAGCTAGAAATAGACTAAATATTGCCTGTCCTATTCCTAGTACTATATATAACTCTGGCAACTTCTAATAGAGGCTAAAGGTTTGCAGAGATAGCGGAGTTAATAATAGGTATATATATAGCCTTGTTTTATATATATCCTATTATATTTATGTTATTATATCCTAATGCTATCCTATTCCCTTCTAATACCTCTTAGAGCCGGCTTAAAGCGCCTTTGGTTATAAAGAAAGCTGCCTAGTATCTTATCTTGTAAACCGCTTCTAGTAGGTCGCTCTTGGTTAGAAGATCGGAAGGTGGTCTTTTAATTAAGGATGGATAGTTGTTCCCTTGAAGAGATGAGTACGTACCCTGCATAGCCTGACCGATTGCGCCCCTATCGTAGTTAATAAAGATAATCTAAAGATTATATATATTGCTTGTCTGCTGGTATAGGGAGCCCAGGATATAGCAGAAGAGACTGAGGAAAAGTAATTGGAGGTAGAGGAAGTTGGTACCAGCTGCATTAAACCATGCTACCCTGGCCGTCCTGAGGACCGAGTCGTTCTTTGGCATGCGGTTACCGAAGGCCTTGGGGTAGAAAGGACTTCACCCGATTTGTCGGCTTGTCTAAGAACAGCATGTTCTTCGGAAAGATTTGCCCTCGCTATTAGACGATAGCGACCTAAGAGGCACTTGACTTGCTTTCGTTAATATGGATATTGAGTAGGATTCTCAACGCGAAAAGACGCGAACGGGAGAGGATTTATTAGAGGCGGGATTTCGATGTTGATGTGCCGCGTGTGAGGGTTTAGTTGGAAGCGTTGACAGGAGAGGAGATTTGAAGAGACGGATTGGTTGGAGGTGCAGGAGTTGGAGAGGATGTACTAGGGGCATAATAGGCCTGTGATTATGAGGCCTAGGGGTGGAAACGGAAAGGGGGCTTTTGGAGGGAGGTGATAGTGATTTAGTATATACTGGATAGGATGCATAACAATTTTGCTAGGGCGCTTAGATAACTCTGGCACTCTTATTACAATGCCTTCTTATTTAACTCGGGACACGATCTACCTACTTCTATCTACTAAGAAAAGAGCCTTTTAACAATTTCCCCAAGGCTGGTCTACACTATAAGAGTTCAGTCCAGACTGACATCTCATCCTCAGAACACCATCAAGTTTCCTAATACTTAACAAAGTCCAACCAAAACTCATCAAAACTTTTCATAAATCCTCAAAGTCCTCAAAAACTCCTTATTAGAGATATGGGTCTAGTTAGGCAGCTTGATATCGTAGTCTTGTCGCTTGATGTCGTCCAAAAGCCACTGCATAGGCGCGGCGTACGTGACGTCATACCCACCACGAGTAATGTTCTCAGCTTCCAATCCTGCGGTAATCATGCCGCCAATTCGACCTTCCAGGTCAAAAATACAAGCGCCTGAGTCCCCTTTCTCAGAGAAAGCTTTATCTATCCCAATAATACACCATTCACTAGAGATGACCTCTCCAACGGCTTCAGAGGCATAGCGGATAACAGAACGGATCCCATTAGCGCGTCCAATAGTAAATCCAGTTTTAAAGCCATGCTTTATAACAATAAGACCCTTACCTTCGGTCGGGGTTCTGGATAGAGCATCTTCTAGATCACTCTCGGGAACCATACGTGGTCCAATGGCCACTTCAAGAGAATAAGTGAAATCTAGCCGCAGGGCAGTTGTGGCCAGGAGTTCCTTGACCTCGCCCAGCATCAGTGAGAGCTTTTGTGTGACTGGGACCTTGTTTCTGAGCTCGCTGAGCTTCGTGGTAAAAATATCCTGGCTAAGTTCGATAAGCGCCCAATCCCTGAGTCTGAGACGCTGAGAGCAAAGTTCGATTGGAGGCGAAAACACGACGTGACCAAGGATAGCGCAGCCCTTCTGGTCAAACTGATCAATGCGGGGTTGGCAAGATTGTCGCAAGGTTTGCTCTCGTAAGTTACCGACACGCAGCGCCTGGTATGATACAGTGTTATACAATGGCTTTGCAGTGAGATCAATAGTCAGATCAAGTGCTTCCTTCTTGCTCCTGAATTCTTCTACTATGTTGCTCAGAATGTTCTTTCTTGGCTGGATAACATCCTTAGTGATAGTATTATGTCCGTCTTGGTAACGGTACTCCTTGCAGTCATTGTCGGAAAAAAGAACATGCCGACATGTAAGTGCATATGTCTTGCCGTTGTTGCTTTGTAGATAGAGGCCCTTTGTTCCTTGTTTAAACCCATCAGTTGAAGCAATCGACGTTCCTATGTACTCTGAGATGTCGCGATTGATGTTGTACTTGAGATCGGATATGTCGTTGTCGAAAGGGCCGGGATCGAGGCGTGGGGCTTTATGGCCGGTTATCGGGTCTGAGGTAGCTGGACCTGGGCTCGAGGCAGCGGTGCTGACGATGCTTTCCTTCATCTCAACTTCAACGTCATCGAGCCCGAACCGGATGAGAATATCCCTGCACGCGATGATTGCTGCTTCTGCCTGTCGGAACGAAGTCGAGTCCTTGGATACGGAAATCAACATGGTGACGGGGCATTTATCTTCATATGTGTCTTCGTAGCTAACGCGCAAGATGTCTATGGCGGTCCAGTCGATGCCGCTGAGCGTGTTGATGATGAGCTGCTGAAGTGATCCTTGCAGATCGTTCCATGGTTGCTGGATTTTATGGCCTGTAGCAACGCCCAGCTTCTTGCGCTCTGGCCACTCACGAGGTTGAGACCAGGGCGTGGTGCTAGAGCGGGCGACAAGTCTTGGGCCGCTTGGAAGGCCATAATAGTACATGCGGCGCTCTCGGTTGCTAGGCTCCTGAAGAGCCATGGTAATGGTATGACAGATGGAAGAAAGAGCTGTAGATGGGGATGAAAGTAGTTGAGAGATAGAAGAAAAGTCTTGAGATGAAAGATGTTGAGAGAAGAAAAGTTGTAGTTGAGGTAAATAGAGTCGTGGCGTTATATAGATCGAGGATTGACTCTCTTCCTTAGTATTGTCTGCCTAAGACATCTTAAGGAGAAGGTCACGATCTCTAGCCATATTTATGTGCTGCCAGTGGTTGTCAATAAGTGGGGGTAGGCAGGGGCCGGTCATCACGAACGCGGTATATCTGTAATACAGGTATAGGTAGTTGGCTGAGCTAAACTGACAGAGCCAGTGGCAGAGGATTAAGACTTGGGCCACTGTTTGTCTGTTCTTCAATTCTGAATCCGGGGTGCTGGATACCCTGATGAACTCAAGCAAGATCTACTGTGAGCTGTGATGTGAGATGTTGAAGGAAGAAAGAGAGCCAGTGCCTGGAAAGATCTGCTGCCTTAAGGCTATCGCCAAGGCAGCGAACCCTCTGAAGGTGAATGCTTATGTGGTCAGACAAAGACATTCACCTGAGCAAACGCACAAAGAGACCATGATCACTGCCTAACTAGATCTGCAATCAATGGACTGTTTTAACCACTGCTTGTTCGCAGACTGCTACCTGTTCAGTAACTCTGTCCAGTCCGACGCTCACTGTGAATGAAGGCAATCTAGATTGAACACACTTCTATTAAGATCGCGTGTTCGCCGAGAGGGCTGATAGGGCCCATCCCTTTCCACCCTTGCTGAGCTTGTCTTCGGCCTGAGTCTGGCGCTCCGTACAGAAAGGCTGACGGATGGCCGACCAAGCTCGATGGTGCTCAAGTACTTCAGTGGCATACTTGCGTACTCAAAAGTAACTAAAAGCTTCCTCAACGCTTATGCTTGTACGCCTCATTTGTCTGGACTCGCATATATACAGTGACTCCTTTTCCTCAAGCAAGCTTTTCCCCTGAGACCGTATGATCGTCTAGAGCAGTTAAGGTTTATTGTTTTTGGATTAATAATGCATCGTGGCATGCTATAGTGTGGTTGTGATAGAGTGACTCTCGATCAAGGGCTGAATTTCCTATTATAAAGTAGTGCACGTCATGGGCCAGACCTTACATTTCCTAATTCTCTGGGCCGTTTACATATGGCTTAGCAATGCATTACAGTCGCCGTGACATGGCTTGCCGAGAGCTGCAGGAACCTTACGCTTGAGTACCCCAGGTCACCGACATAGTGACGGCTACAACATCATAGATAGATATACACTATGCTTTATCGAATAACGAAATACAACAGCTGAGCATGCCAAGTTCTAAGTGTTCTCTTGGATGTGATATCGGAGGATCCATGTTTTGGCGTGGTTACAGCAGTCAATCCTACAAGAAACAGGTTTCACCACACAACCCGTCGAGAAGGACCTACGTCCGATCCAGCTGTATCGCCCTCTATGAGCAACTTAAATAAAACGATGAAAAGACCTCGTTTTCGTGACATTAATGCTTGAGAAGCTCTTAGAAATTATAATCTTAAGTATGCCATCAACCTCCTTAAAAGAAATATCCTCGCCTAGCTCACCCAAGTCGGCAAGAAGTCTCGGAATTGCGATCGAATTGTTAGAGTAGTAGTAATATGTCATAACTGGCGCAGCTTTCCAGATCTTATCTACCTTCTCCCAGGATGCCTTGTCCTCGCTGTACCTAACCCACTGGATATACAGCTCGGTGCCGGTCTTAGTTGGCTTGTGTTCGAGTATCTTGAAGATAAAGAGAGAGTCCTCTGAGAGTCGAGCGCGTATTCGAGAGGTGACTGTGACTGATGAGGAAGCTCAAGCCGCGGAGGCCATCGTTCGAGCGCGTTGGAGTGAGGTGATTGTGACTGAGGAACTCAAGTCGAGGAGACAACTGTACGAGCGCGTTGGAGTGAGGGGAAGCATAAGCCGCTGTTCGAGTAGGTATGTTGAAGTTGGAGCGCGAAGCCCTGCCCGCATTACCTAATCTAAAATATGCTACCGAATTTTCGATGACTTAAGCAGCCCCACTTCCGTTTTTGCAAGAAGACTACGAGCAGGGAGGTTCGGGTCGCGAAGGAGGTACAGGCTAAGCATTTGTACAAGGTAAATATAACTAGGAAAGTATAGATCGAGACCAAGGTCAAACGCGTGATAAAATCCGTCGGTATTGTTAAGATAAAGCTTATTTTGCTTTTCTAGATGTGATGCAGATCAGCCGAGGGCGGTCTGCGGGGTGAGCGCGATGGAAAGCTCTATCTGCAGATGAAGATGGAGACCTCGGTCCGAACCGTCAGGGGGATAACACTAAATCTACAATGCAGGGATGCCTTTGTGTATAATCTAGGGTTGCGGTTGGTTAGCTTAGAACCCTGTGTGTATCATGGTGCTATTCCTAGACACTCTAACCATATCGGGGGCACCGGTGTTGTGTTTTGTGCAAGTCGACATCGGAGCTAAAAAGTGACCCTGTTGTGATGTGGTATATTCAATGAGGTTTGCTAAAGAGCACAAAGAAGAGGGCAACTAGATTCACAACAGGGAAAAAAGAAAAAGAAAATAAGGATTGTAAAGAGGAAAGTCCGCAGATTATGGTTCTATAATAATTACAATGCTTATATACGCGACGAGGATATAAGGAAGTTAAACAGTATCTAGAGTGCGTCTGTATTCCCTACCCTACACCATTAGCCACATACGCCACACATACAGCCACCGGAAGCTGGATCTTTACCATAACAGGCTTAGATCTCGGACGCCAGCTGATAAGATAACAGGATCTAACCCGCCGCGGTGGTTATCATCACAGCAAACCCCAAGCGCCTTCGATTAAGACCACCGAAGCCGTCACGACATGAGCCTCTTCAAGGGCTTTAATTAAACACTCCGCCAGCATCCTAACAAATACCACTCATTAATCCCAATTTTTGCAAGAAACCAAAGCACTTTCAGCTCGGTGCTTACAACAAACATAACTCACCTCTAGTCTACTTATTATAATAATGAACACAAATCCTACTGCAGGACCTGGTGGTCCTTCTCGTTATACCAGGCAAGTTGCTGGCACTGCCGCCGCCGGCCTTGAATTTCACTCTGGTTCACAGCCCCGCCCGGATCAGAAGAAGGCACAACTCCATTGAAGGCTTCTTCCTCTTTTCCTTCCACTTCCCTCCAGCTTCAGCATCATCACCATTTAACCCTCAACGACAACAACATCTACCATCTTCAACAAAGGAGGAAAAGGAAAAGAAGGTGTCTATCAAACGCTGCCAAGACCGTATGTAAACATTCCGCTGCTGGTGTTGCCCTGCCGCCTTATCTGACGGTTTCGCTGACCTGCCTGTGCCATCGCAGCTGCCTCCATTACCGAGATCCTCCACCCAAAGACCACCGCCGGGAGCGGAAGGGTTTCATTGCTATGCTCAGAGCAATTCACCTATGTCGATAAAAATGGCCGCACCGAGATGAAAGATCGACTATGCTATATACTCCAGAAAGAACTTCAAGATGCCAATGAACCACTTGTCTACGCGTTCTTGGAGAGGAACAGAGGCCTAAACATGTTCCAAAGTACTACCTCTAGCAACGGCATCCATGTCCAGAAGATCCTCGACCACGCCCCCAAGGATGTACCGCACCCAGACCGCTTCCTCGTACAACTCCAGGGCCGCCGCAAATCTGAGGCAGAATGGAGGCCTGTTGAACAAGTCCACATCTACCACGCAACAGATATCGCGCTGTACTGTTGCAAGAATAACATAACCTTGAACCCTAACTGCGACTACGACTTCGAACCTACGAGTAATCCTGATATATGGCCTGATGAGTATATAATTATGCAGAGCTTTAAGAAAAGTGAGGAGGAGACCAAGCAAGCTGCAGAGGAGGCCAAGTCGGTCGTAGAGGGGAGCAACAACGAGACCGAGCACGAGATAATCATTATATCTGATGATAATAGTGGCGATCAGGGCGACGACGAGATGGGAGATTAGAGTTGAGGCACGTTGAAGACGGCCAGGATGCGTGAGCTGATTGCTTTGTTTATCCTGCAGTTAGCAAAAAAATACCTAATACATAACCAGTTGCCCAATTCCCCCACGCTTGCCTAGGTACATTGCCACTGACATCCCGACACCGTGTTTAATGTGTTTAATGTGAGGCTGCGATGTTGCTCTCCCGGGCAGGAGACACAACTGGCGCCAAGACCTTCCCTGCGGGACGGATAAACCTTATTCCGGATCCCAGCAAGGAGTCGAGGGAGCTCGAAGCCCCGCCCGCATTACCTAATCCAAAATCCGCAAGCAAATTTTCAACAACCTTAGCAGCCTACCGCTCTCCCCGCAACCCCTCCTCCTTAATTAAAACACATACCCTTTTATATAACAATCTAATAACGGTTTCTAGTAGTGTTTATTAACTATTCTTACTAAAACTAAATATATACTAATAAAAATAGGGGTAAGAGATTATTAAAATTTTACTTATAAAGTCTATTAAACTTTATTAACTAAAATAAGAAATAATAAATATAAAAATAATATATAAGTACTTATATTTAATTTTATTTAGGTTTTAATAGAATATAATAGCCTTCTATTTACTAAAAGTCTTAATAAGATATTTTATAAGTATTAATTAGACTACTTAAATACTACTTTCTTAATATAAACTATACCTTAAGATAAGGTATTTTAAAAGGCATACTAAACCTTATAAGCCTATAAGAAAATAAATAAAAGATCTTATATATTATAAGAGTATTTAACTTAGTAATAAACTATTATAAGGATATAGTTTACTATGCTAATTACAATCTTTAGTATTAGTTACTTAGCTTAAGGCTTTATAGCTATTAGGAAATTGCTTTTAACCTAGTAGTAGAGAATAATAATAAGATTAGGTATTAAAGGACTTAAAAGCAATTTTTAGCTTTTATCTTATAAATATACTAAATATAAGGTAACTCTTAATAAGAAATAATAAATATAAAGATAAAGCCTAAGATCTCTATATAGCTAGATAGAATTTAGGAGCATGATATTTAGAACTATCTTAATATATTAAAGGGGAATTAGCTAGTTATGGAAAGACAGGGAAGTCCCCTAGTAGGAATACACTCTGGTCCTATAGGCGGCCCATCTACTGACGTTCTTCTTAACATTCAAGCTTATTAAGGATTAGATGGGAAAGAAGGCGCTGAGGATGGCGAGATAGATAATAAGAATGTTGAAGCTTGGGAGCTTGAAGACAAAGACGATAACGACGATGACTATAATGACTCTAGATATTATGATAATAATACTGATAGGTATATGGCTAGAACTTAACAGGATCTGCTCTTAGATAAATTAGGGGACTTTGCTATATTTATATCTAATTAATTCCTTAAACTCTTATTTTAACTATATATTATACTTAGTACTAAGAGTTTTCTTAACAGGTAACTAAGCTCTATACTGCTTATATATTTTAGCAGTATCTTTAGATTTTCTATAGATTGTTAGAGATTTTAACTTGCCTAATAGTATTACTTAAAACTATTAGTAATAATTTATATATAGTATATACTATTCCTAAAGTAAGTATTGCCTTTATATAGATATAAATTTATTAGTATTTTATAATAACTAAAAGCTAGATATTTTAAGTATTTTAATAAAGTCTAAGCTAAGTATATAGTTTTAGGCTTATAGTATCTATTAGTAAAGCAAATAAGTCTTTAAGATTTTAAATATAATATTATATATACTAAACTACTATTTTTACTTTTTTACTAAAGTAATAATAAATAACTTTTATAAACTCTTAAATTATTTTATTATATAGGCAGAAGTATTATATAATTAACTAATATTTAATATATATCTAAATATTAATTTAATAAAAGTTAAAGATAATATTACTAGTTTAAAAAGTAATTATAGCTTTATTAAATATATTAAAAATAGTCTTAAGTTAATATATTTAGAATTATTAGTTTATACTTATATTGCAGGTAGAAACAGACTAGCTAGAGACGGCATATAGAGATAGTATACTATAATAGCATATTTAAAACAAGTTAATAAGATAGAGGAGCAGCTTGCAGGTAGTCTTTATACTGCCTGTAGCCAGACTCTATATATTAGGGAACTTCTTAGCCTCGAGTATGAGAATGGTCCGAACACAAGCTGCGGGATTTATACATAGGGCGGCTATATGGTGTATATTATCCGTTATCATAAAGCAAAGCGACTGACAAACCGCGAGTTCCATATTCGCTTGGCAGAGCGGGCACCAGCTGCTCTAGCGTGGGACTACGTATGGACTTAATAGAGCATACCTATCCAGACTCCAACTATCACTTCTGCGATGCTATGAATGGGCTTCGGTGCGCTGGCATGAACTCCTGCACCAGCCAAGCAAGAACATACCTTCAGCACCCGAAGAATTACCCTTTCTAAAATCATTTTCAACTAGTAAGAAGCGAGCCATTATAGAGGTTATTGCAGACTATATACTTCTAATAGATGAAGGTTATCTGGCAAAAAGACAAAAAAGTAGCAGGCCATTAACGGCCTTAAGTAAGTAAAGTTTGCAGTTTTTATTAGCAGAGGGCTAGCAAGATAGGCAGGATTAAGTCTTACCTGCAAGATATAGCGAGGTGTCGATACAAACTGTGCATGACGGGAACAGACATTTCGCATTTACGGAAGGAGTTCTCTATGTGCTTAATAAGCCTCGGATTTTAATTTGCCTTCTCTATAGATATACTGTTCGACCTGGCAGAGGCATTAAAGCCTACTTTTAAAATATATATAAGTATATAGGAGATAAACTTAAGGAGATATTATCTTTTTATAATAAGAAAGGATTTCAGGACCTAACTAGGGTGCTAATTCTAAAGAATAGTAATAAGGCTATACTGCAACTCCTAAAGCTTAGTAGATTTAGCTGCAATTACTGCAATTTCTTATTTATTAATAAGTTAAATATTTAGCATTATTACAGCTAATATAAACATTAAGATAAAGAAGTTAATAATAAAGGCTAGAAATATATCTATCTTTAAAGATTTATAATAGGTAGTAGTATATAGTATTAAATTATAATATAAAAGATAATTAATTTATAATAGCTATATTAAACTTATTTATATTTAATTATAATTATATTCTTATAATAAAAAATTTCCTTTTATTAGCTTAGAACTAGCTTAATGCTTTACTATAACTAATTTATAAGATAGCTATTAAGCCTAAACTGGCTTAGATAGAGCATTACTATTATAACTACTATAAGACTATTAGATAGCTACTATAAGAAGTTATTGCATTTACTAAATTGTTTTTATTATCTAGATAGTGCCTTTAGGTATTATAAAACCTAATAATTATAAATATAAAACTGCTATTAAATAGAAGCCTACTTATCCTTAGATTAAAGATATATAAAGGACTTAACTATAAAAGCTATTAGTTTCTAACTTATAATAGTTAGAATTTTACTATATATAAGACCTATATAAGGCACTATAGGCTATAGATTAGTAGTAGTAAAGGGAAAGGCTAGGTAATAATAATACTTTAATTACTATATAAGGCTTTATATATAAGGTATTAAATTATTAATTTAGCTATTATATAGGCTAACCTTAGTAGTAATAATAGTAATAATATAGCTAGATAAGGGGATAATAGTAATAATAGTAATATTATACTGCTATAAACTGTTTAGGCTTATAAGAAGGATTTAAAGGAAGTAAAGGTAAAATAATAATATTAAGTAAAGGCACTAGATAGAGTTAATACTAAGTTAAGATAGGTATAATTTATAAAATAATTAATATACTTATAGTAAAGAAATAAATTAATATTATATTAAGTAAGATTATTATTAGCTTTTATTATAATTAAGTAATAGATATAGCCTTATAAGTATTATAAAGTAAATTAGAGGCTATATATATTAACTAAGTATAATAATTAGGTTTTTAAATAGGTAAACTAGTCTATACTAGGTTTATACTTACAGATTACATAAGGCATAATACTAAGCATTATAAAGTATTATATCTCTTAATAATTAAGTAATATATATTAGGCTTATTAATATAAAGATACTTTATTAATAGCTAGTAAGCTAAGTTTTATAAAAGTGCTAATAAATATATTTTTATATACTAAAGGTAGTTATATAAAAGCAATATAATATAAGGTTATTATTAGTCTTAAAATAATATAGTTTTAGAGCGCTATTATTCTTATACTTATTAGTCCTTATTTAGTTAGTTACTAAGGTAGAGCTTTTATAGGGTATATATAATATAACTGCTAAGGTTATAATATAATCTCTCCCCTTTAGTAGTCTTATCTTTAAGGCCTATTATCTTAATTAATATTTATTTTCTTTTAATAAGACTTAACTTAAACCTTTTATTATTATATTTTATAATATTTAACTATATATCTAAGTAGTTATCTTATAAGAATTATAAAATCTAAATACTTATGCTTTCTATTAAGTTTGCTAATAAAGAAGTAAATATGCCTTATATTTATTACTTTTAGGTAGGCAAGAAGTATCTAATATCTGCTAATTCTGCTTATTATAGTAAGTATATTTAAGCTAAAAAGTCTTATAATAATACTTATATTATATCTTCTTATAAGTTTATATATTATTTTATAAGTCTTTTATTAATTTTAGTAGTTATAACTTTAATAAAATAAAAAAAGAAATTAGAGAATAATAAAGATAAAGTAAGTAAAGATCTTTTTAAGCTTTATAAGAAGATAGCAGTGCTTTAGTCCTGTTTAACTCTAGCTGCTAATTATCTATTAAGGATTTATAAGATTTATAATTATATAAAGGAAAAGCATTTTAAGGCTACTTATTATAGCCTCTAAGAGGTAAATTAGCAGAATATAATCTTATTAAGGCTAGATATATATAAAAATATATTACTTTATAATCTTTAGGTAGATTATATTCTTAATAATATTAATTAGTCTGCTTTAGGTTTAGGTAATAATTTCCTTAATGCTTTTCCTTTATTTAATATTAGTAAAAGTTCTTTAAGAATTACTAGGTATTAATAAGGTATTTTATTAGTTTTTATATATTTTCGCTTTTTAAGTAGTTTTTTTATTTAATTAGATATATCTTTTAT